AATTCCAAATTCACTGGATTCAGATTGCTTCTCTAGCTGCTGTGATATTTTTGGTAACATGGTTTGTTTGCCTAAGGAGCAGATGCCAGGGTTGGATTCCAGCCCTGCTATTTATCAGTAGTGTGATCTTGGCAAGTAATCTAATCTCTTTGTTTCCCCATCTCCTCACTGTGAAGTGGGATAGTAATATTGCCTATCTCAGATGGTCATTGTGAGGATTAATTTAATTAATACACGTGAAAGGCTTACAATTGCCTAACAAAAATCAATTCTGTTAGAAATCACTAGAGCAGCTACCCTCCAGGGCCAGCGTGAGAAGGAGGTGGAAGGCAGTAGATTTTTTAAATAGAGTTCAGGAATTACCAAATATCTCCAGGATTATTTATTTATTTATTTATTTATTTATTGACAAGGTCCTGCTTTGTCACCCAGGCTAGAGTGCAGTGGCGTGATCTTGGCTCACTCTTGGCTGTTCTCCTGGAGAAGTAGAGCAGCTTCTACCTGTCCTGGAGAACTTTAGATTTTCAAAGGCAATAGAATTGGTAGGGTCCAAACTTAGATTTCTAGGGAACAAAGGGAGACCTAGGTAATACTTGGGTTATAAGTCGAAAAAACAGAAAATTATACTAAAATTATATATATATGTATGTAATTCTATATATATATAAAATTTTAGTGTATATATATAAAATTTTCTCTCTCTATATAGAATTATATATAAGGAGTCAATTTTCATTATCTGATGTAGTTATAATCTATAAAATTGCTGAGAACACCAAATTAGTGACCACTGAACCATTTCTTTTGGGGAAAATGCGGAGTTAGGTTCCTGTAAGCCATAGTCACAACAGTTTCATCAACCAATCAATACATAACCTTGTTTTATGTGTGTTTCTGTTTAAAAACACCTTATTTAATATATATTATTGGGTTTTTAACATTGAACTCCGAGCTGACAGCATCATAGCTCGTGTCTGCACAAAGCCTACCTAACCCATGTATTTTCTCTGTTAAGACACCACAGCCTGTGCTCAGGCGCAACAGACAGTACTTCAACACTACTCTTGGGGGCCACTGTAAACAGTGAAATTACCAACAAAAAGCACAAAAATTGAAAACATAGCACTACATAGATCGTGAAAAAAAATGTATTAATATTTACCGTACCAGTGCTGAAACAAGAAGGGTTTGTTGCCTTACTGGACGTCATTTGGGAATGTTCCCTGTTGAGCAACTCATATTTTTGTCCCCTTTGTGTATGTCTGCAAATGACCACAAAAACTCCTGAGTGTTGATTTTGGGGTTACAAATACATTTTTGTAAGTAGGCAAATTTGCAAATACTGAATCCATGAATAATGAGGATCGACTGCATATATAAAAAGGTGGAATCAGCAAATAGGTGGCACAGAGGAGGGTGAAAGGATCTAGAGGTCCAGAAAGCTAGGCTGGATGGTGAGGGGAGTGACTGCAGGGTCACGTTTTATCTCCTCCCCCACCTTCAAGAACTGATTAGCAACTGGTTCAAGCTCTGTGATGTGAGTTGGTGACTCTAGACCAGAGAGCACTTTCTCAGTGCCCAGCTGCCTGAGGCAGCAATGTGCTCAGTTTGATGGAGCACTATCTCTTTTTTCTAAAGAAATTTAGAGGCTTGGGACATTAATTCCGCCTTTTCTTTTTTTTCTTTTCTTTTCTATTTTTTTTTTTTTTGAGATGGTGTCTTGCTTTGTTGCCCAGGCTGGAGTGCAATGGTATGATCTCTGCTCACTGCAACCTCTGTCTCCTGGGTTCAGGTGATTTTCCCACCTCAGCCTCCTGAGGAGCTGGGATTACAGGCACTTGCTATCATGACCAGCTAACTTTTGTGTTTTTGTAGAGACAGGGTTTCACCATGTTGACCAGGTTGGTCTTGAACTCCTGACCTTAGGTGATCCACCTTCCTTGGCTTCCCGAAGTACTGGGATTATAGGCATGAGACACCGTGCCGGCTTCCACCTTTTATATCTATGTGGGATTGGGCTCCTCCTCTGTCACTCTACTATCTACACGGGAGTCAATTTTTACCAAAATAAGAAAATACAAACATCAGTCAAATAAGGGAACCTTAGGCCCAGATTCCTGCAGAGATTAACTCTTGATTTTCTCTCTCATCCCATATCCCACATAATTCAGTTTTAATTAGTTTAAATTTAAATTTAAAAACGGATACTTGATTCAGTTATTGGAAACTTTTAAGTATATTGGAACAACCTGGGTATGTAAATCGACTTTTTCATTTTATGAAGTTGTTAAGCAAACTAAATATGGCCTGAGAAGGACTCTGTACTTCTATATTTGAGTCTTTGTAGATGAACTGTAACCTAGCTTAATAGTCAGATAAAATTGAAAACTTAACTTAGTGGTGTGCACCTGTAACAATAGCTGAGTGTTGGCTAATCGCAGGGGCCATACTTCAACCACTCATAGACTACTGAATATTCAAATGACATTAAAATAAGGCAAATGTCGAGCTGTAACCAATCTCACTGGTTCTGTACCTCACTTCTGATTCCTGTATGTCACTTTACCCTTTTTGTGTATAAGTTTTTTTCTGACCACGAGGCACCCCTAGAGTCTCTGTGAATCTGCTGTGATTCTGGCACCTGCCTAATTCGCAAATCATTCATTGCTCAATTAAACTCCTTTAAACTTAATTTGGCTGAAGTTTTTCTTTTATCAAAGTCTAAACAGAGAGCCATCATTTCTAATGAACATTGAATATGCAAATTGAGATGTTCTATAAATATAAAATATACATCAGATTTCAGAGACCTAAAAGAATGTAAAATGTGTAATTAATACTTAAAAATATGATTACATGTTAAAATGGCAATATGATGGATATATTGAGTTAAATAAAATATTTTTTAAAAGTTAATTTCATTAAAAATTTTTTTTAATATGGCTACTGGAAAATTTTAACTTACATACATTATATTTATAGTGAATAGTACTGAACTAGGATCTTATTTGCCCCTGCTCACATTGTTTATGATTATGGCACCAGGCAGTAGAAACACAGGTGTCCACTCATGAGTCATGGACCTGACCTGCTGAGATTCCACAGGCCTTCTCCAATGCTCTTAGCCACTGAATATGACCAGTCTTTTTTCTGGATCCCATTTGTTCTTCTAACTTTGCAAAGATCCAAACTTCCTTTTTTTTTGATAGGTTCTCCAGGCTTCACCAGGTAGTCCTCTAATCTGATTTCCTGAGGAAACTTCAAATCCCAACAAGTTCAAGAGTAATTTCTATTTTTCCTTTGAGGATTCACGTTTCAGCCTTTGAAAGTACAGTACAATCCAAACACCATGATTTTCTGTCTCCTAAATTTTCCCATTATAGATGGAGCTGTATAAGTATATGGTCGCCTCAATGTATTTTATAAGTTTTTGTGTGGAAGTATATATGAGTAATTTTCTTTCTTTCTTTTCTTTTTCTTCTCTTTTCTGTCTCTCTCTCCTTCCTCTCCTTGCTCACCTCCCTCCCTTCCTTTCTTTCTTCCTTCCCTTTCTTTCTTCGTTGTCTAAATCATCTTTAGCCCACATCAATTACATGGTTTCAGCTACTTACAGCACTCCTCCTCCTACATTAGCTTCCCAACCAAATCAATCTCTGACAGATCTACGTGGTTGGAGACTTGACTCCAAGGTCAGTTCTTCCCTTCTAGTCTCTTTTGCCAGGTCCAGGCACTACAGCAGTCTTCTGCATTCTTTACGGGCAGGAATGCCTTGCTTACTGCTCTTTAGCCCATTCATTATGTGACTTAAATGCCACTTGGTGACAAAAAGAGTATCTTAAACCCTAATCCTACCTATGACAATTAATATTTCCTTCATCCAAATCCACACAATAAAAAGGAGTGGTGATTAAGCTGCAGTTCCTACAGACAGGCAAGTTGAATAGCAGGCAGTATATTGATTTTGCACAGTATACTATCTCTGGGCGACTCAATGGATTATTGTGATATGATCACACTTAACCAGATGGGGGTCTCAATGCCAAAAAGTTGGAGTACCATTCTTAAGAACAAGTCTACTAGTCTCAGGAATCATTCTCACCTTTCGATTAAGTGAGTAAGCTTTTAGACCTATTAAAACATTTTAACTCTTTCTTCTCTACTGCCCTCCCTGGCTGGCTTAGTAAATGGATTGTTGTACATATGGTCTGGTTCTGAGCAGTTTTCTGTCCTGCTTCTAAAATCCACTGAATCCAAAGAAGATGAGAAATATTCGGTAGGGTAAATTGTGTTGTACGATAGTGCTAAACCATGTCAATTGCCCTAAAGTGGCATGGGGTGGAAGAGACAATGCTGTTCTTTGCCTAGGGTAGACTCACTTCTTTCCCTTCCTTTGTTGAATTGATTAGCAACTATCTATTCTTTAGACAGTAAACAAATGATAGTTATTCTTCAAACAAAATCTCATAGTAAATACCATTTAACTAATATAGTGCCTAAATATTATAAAAATTAAATTATTTCCCAGTTGTGGTAGATACTGGATGGCTAAAAATGACTTTTTTTTCCTTGGACTCAGCACCAAATACAAAGGGGGATGTCTGTGCTAAGATAAAAGTAATTGCAGGGCTCTAGTTATATACAATAGTCTGCAAGTGACTACCCATCTGGAATTACTGACCATGGAATTATGGCCAAGACCCTCCTCAGTGGTTTATTCTATCTCTCTCAATCCAGGTGAGAGGTAGGGCACATCATCCCCCAATGATCTGCCCTGTCCTTTATCATATGGGTGGTAAAATATATTCCTGGATTAGAGGCTTTAGTTGAGAAATACCATATTAGCTCAAGGTGGAGGGCTGCAGTCCTTTGATGGTGGCTTCTCAGTGATTTGCCTAAGAAAGCAAACTCAAACCCAGGCAAGGCTTCCCTGCTGGCAGAGCCCATTGAATTCCTCAGATTACAGAAAGAGATTCAATAGAGTCTATTTAGTAGTTCCAGCCTTTTTTTTTTTTTTTTTTTTTAGTGTCTTGGAATGTCCCAGGGCATTTTTGCTGAAGGAGCCCAAACTCCTACATCTTGACAATTGGCTCCAGCAGTAATTACATACTTCAAAATGTGAACTTCAGCCAACCTAGTTCTCATCTCAGGTGTCTAGTGCTCTGATGCACCCAGTGTGCCTTGGCCAAAACAAACATCCATTACATATTGATGGATTTACTTGCTTTTAAATTGTTTTTTCTATCCCTAATCTTTTTGGTAGGTGTCTATATATGTTCTAGTTTTCTCGGTCTGCCATAACAAGTTACCACAAATTAAATGGTTTAAAACAACAGAAGTGTATTTTGTCAAAGCCCAAGAAGGCAGAAGTACAATATCAGTATGGTAGAGCCATTCACTCTGGAAGGTTCTGAGGGAGAATCCACTCTATGCCTCTCTCTTAGTTTTTGATCCTTGGTATTCCTTGGCTTGTGGCTGCCCTCCAATCTCTTCCTTCATTTTCATAGTATTATCTTTTTTGTGTCTCTGTGGCTTCTCCTCTACTTATAAGTACACCAGGCATTTGATTTAGAATGCTCTCATCTCAAGATCCTTAACTTAATTATATCTGCAAAGATATAGTTATATCTGCAAAGGTCATATTCACAGGTACTAGGGGTTAGAGCTTAGACATATCTTTTGGGGGGACACTATTTGCTACTGTTTAAATGTGTCCACCAAATTTCATGTGGTGGAAACTTAATCTCCAAATTCATATGTTGATTGGAAGTGAGGCCTTTGGGAGGTACTTAGGATTAGATAAAGTCAACACGGTGGGGTTCCCAAAATAGGACTGGTGGCTTTATAAGAAGAAGAGGCCTGAGCTGACATGCACACTCCTGTCCTCTCGCCATATGATGCCTTCACCATGCTATGATGAAGCAAAAAGGCTTTCACCAGATGCCAGCACCAAGCTGTCAGACTTCCCAGCCTCCAGAACCATGAGCTAAATAAATCTCTGTTCTTTATAAATTACCCAGCCCATGGTATTCAGTTTATAGCAACGGAAAATGGACTAAGACACTATTCAACACACTAAAATATGAGATACAAAAATAGTCATTTGAGTGAATAATGTGCCTGATTCTTGCTATAAAAGGCATCCCTAAGCCTACTGGTCATAATATACCATTCCAAGATCTTCCATCCATTTGGATATTTTAATTTCTGGAGTCAGTACAAATTCACTTCCTGATGCCTCAAACTTATAACTATTGTAACTGCCAGTGACACAGAGCTCCCTCATTGTGTGGAATAACCTTACCTCTTCCGTAGACAGGATGTCTATGACAAAGGGTGGAAGGTGGTGCCTGTCTACTGAGGCCCACTGCCTGTTAAATGAGTGGTTCTATCTGTGCCTCACATTGTTACTTTTGATTTAAAGGTTAGTGCCCAGAGGATGCATCAGTTTTTCCAGGCAAATGAAAGTGAGGGTCCTGGTCAGGGACGTGTCTTTTATAATGAGCTCACATAGATATCTCTCATCCTTTCTTAGATTTTGATTTTTCTATTTAATAATCAAAGACTGTTAAGTTACATTGCTATGTGAGACAAAGGGTTCCAACTCACAAAACCACTCACCGACCTCTGTTGAGTCTCTTCACTAGCACTGTTACTCCCCTCCAGTAATCAGCCAGCAATTGTTTTTCAAAAGCAGTGTAATTCTCAGCTGCTAAAAGCATTCCTTAGTCAAATATCCTAAATACTTATGCTATATTTTCCCTTATAGGATCTGCCCCCCTCCCTCCTTGACAAATCATCTTGGTGGAAGAGGTAGAAATCACAGAGACTCCATGGTCTCATTTTTCTTTCTGAATCATAGGACCCAAAGGCTAGAATTGACCATACTGTGGCTTCTTGCCAGGGTTAGTCACCGAGGCTCCTCTCAATCCTATTGAAAGTATGCAGCCTTTTGGATGACCCAAGATACAGAGTGTGTGAAAATTCCAAGGTGAAGCATTTGCTGACTGTAACACCTCCCTCTTCTTTGTTGCAGCAGGAGGTGTTACATGTGTTTCACTACCTGTCGTGAGTGAGTTTAAGCACTACTATTCTAGGTGATCCTTGTCTGCTGGATTTCTGGTGGATGCTCTCTGAACCCAGTGGCACAGACTCATCCTCTTGGGTATGATGTTAAGAACGGTAGTGCCTTTGTCACTTTTGTTTTTAGGGGATCTTGGCAACTTCATATAGTGGGGCACCAGGCAACTGAAAGAAGAACGAAAACAAAGATGCAGAATGATACCATCTAAGACACTACAATCTGATCTGTCTTTTTCAGAGATTTCCTTAAAGTAAAAGGAGCACCAAGTTGTTCTTGAATAGGTAGAGACAGAGGGCTACCCTTAAGCAGATGTTTGTTAGGTAGATATATTTCAGGCAGCCCCAGGTCTAATGAAAGGTGTAGTGGATTTTTTTCTCCTTAGTACAGCCAACTCTTCCTCATAGTATGCTGTGCTCTGGGGACGGGGTGGGCCAGTATATAAATGGAACCCTTGACAAGCAGGATGGATAATACCTTTTAATTTTTTAAAGCAGTTGTTAGCTCAACTGCCATAGTATTCCACTAATTGTTGCAAGATATCTGGCCAACTACTGGTTTAATTGTCTATGTTCTACTGGGAGTGTTCAAGTTTTATTAACATTTCCTACAGAGAATCTAATACTTTCACATAATTGGAGACGTCATTTGCAGGGGCATCCTGGGTAATGAGATACTGTAATACTGATGTTGATTAATCAAAGTTGTTATTAGTTTTCCAGAGCTACCAAAACAAAAAAAGTCACAAACTAGGTGGCTTAAAACAACAGAAATTTGCCAGGTGCGGTGGCTTATACCTGTAATCCTAGCATTTTGGGAGGCCGAGGCAGGTGGATCACTGGAGGTCAGGAGTTTGAGATCAGCCTGGTCAACATGGTGAAACCCCATCTCGTCTTTACTACAAATACAAAAACTAGCTGGGTGTGGTAGTGAGCACCTGTAGTCCCAGCTCTTCAGGAGGTTGAGGCAGGAGAATCACTCAAACTCGGGAGGTGGAGGTTGCAGTGAGCCGAGATCATGCCATTGCACTGCAATCTGGGTGACAAGAGTGAGACTCTGTCTCAAACACCACCACCACCACCACCACCACCACCACCAAAAACCCCAGAAACTTATTCTATCATGGTTTTGGAGGGCAGAAGCCTGAAATCAAGGTGTTGACAGGCACAGCTTCTGAAGCTCCTAGGGAAGGATCCTCCCTTGCCTCTTTTGGTTTCTGGGACATTCCTTGGTTTGTGGCAGCATAACTCTCATCTCTGCCTCTGTCGTCACATGGTGTTCTCCCTGTATATCTCTTCCCTCTCTTATAAGGACACCAGTCGTATTGGATTAAGGGCCTATTCTACTTCATTATAGCCTCATCTTAATTATATCTGCAAGACTCTATTTCGAAGTAAGGTCATATTCATAGGCACCAGGGGTTAGGACTTAAATATATCTTTTTGGGGACACAAGCAACCTGTGACAATAAGCTTCTGCTTTTCATGTCCATACCGTGGGGTATGAGAGAGTAGATGCCACCAGCCACACCTCTAGTTTACAGAATAGAACTTTTTTTTTTTTTTTTTTTTTTTTTAGGCAGCATTTCACTCTTTTGCCCAGGTTGGAGTGCAATGGTGAAATCTTGGCTCACCACAACCTCTACCTCCCAGGCTCAAGCAATTCTCCCACCTCAGCCTCCCGAGTAGCTGGGATTGCAGGCATGTGCCACCATCTCTGGCTAATTTTGTATTTTTAGTAGAGACGGGGTTTCTCCATGTTGGTCAGGCTGGTCTCAAACTCCTGACCTCAGGTCATCCGCCCGCCCCGGCCTCCCAAAGTGCTAGGATGACAGGTGCGAGCCACTGCACCTGGCTGAGAATAGAAATTTTTAAGACAACTGCCTTAGAGGTGTTAAAAAGATTTTCAATTGGGAGGCCCTCAGGCTGAGATGGCTCCACCACATTTGATTCCTACATAAGCAAACCAAAGCCCAATGTAAAAAGTAAAAGAAAACTAGGGACCTTACCAATCAGAAACCACCAGCTAACCTCTAACTAAGGAATTTCCGTATTAATGAATCAAATATATTTTCTTTGTCTTACTTCCATGTTCAGCCTATAAAAGCTCACTGCCCACACTGCTACAGCTGAGCTCTCTAAACCTCTTTTGGCCTTGAGTGCTGCCTAATTTATGAATTGTTCTTAGCTCAAATAAACCCTTTAAAATTTTAAGGTTCCTAAATTTATTTTTGAACAGAGGGCATCATTCTACATCTTTGTTTTCTTCTTTTCTTACCCTTTTTGGAAACTGTAATACAGCTCTTCCTTTGATACTCTATAATCAAGGTCACTCTACTACAATTTCTATCAATCTCTGCTTTATTGACTCAGGCATTCTTCTAGCTGGCCCCAAGTTATTTTTACTTACCTCATGGGCTTCCATTTTCCACTATCAGCCAGTTCATATGGCTTTTAAACTTGGGGCTTTGGGGAGACCGGTAGACCATCATTGGTTCTATTGTTAAGTTTAAGGTCGTCCTTGTTCCACATACCCAGAGAGGGAGTTAGTGCTACAGGAGATGGAAAAAAATTATTTAGGCAGATAGTGAGGGTAAAAGAGTCCTCAGCAGAATTTCCCTTTTAACAAAAAACAGCCCCCAAATCATTTATTTTCTAACAAAGAACAGCCTGAAAAATCAAGCTGCAAACATAGATAAGCAAGTTGGAAGCTTGCAGGAGTGAATGCCGGCACCTGTATCAATAGAAAAGGGTTACCTGGGGGCCAGGTATGTTCAACATGGAGGCTCATCTTCCCTTTTCTTTGTCACCACATGTACAGAAAAGAAACAGGCAACATGGTACTGGCCAGGTAGAGAACCCATCTGCAAAATAAAAGATTAGGGTGGGGATGGTCATCTTTTTGTGCCCTATACAAATGGCATACCTAGCCCTAACCAGTTTTTTGTGCTCTATGCAAATGGCACACCTGGTCCAACCAATCTTTTGTGCCCTATATAAATGACACACTGCCTCCTTAAAGTCACCTATAAAATCCCTTGCATTCCACTGCGGAACCAGTAACCCATTTCTCTGGGACCCATCTCTGCTGCAGAGAGCTCTTCTTTTTGTCTGTTCAACTTCTGCGCTGAACCTCACTCTTTGTGTGTCCATGTCCTACTTTTCCATAGCTGTGAGACAACAAATCTCGGGTATTTACTCCAGACAACAATGCCACTTCGTTACCAGGTTTTAAAAAATATCTATCTACGCTGGGTGTGGTGGCTTACACCTGTAATCCCAGCACTTTGGGAGGCCGAGATGGGTGGATCACGGGGTCAGGAATTCAAGATGAGCCTGACCAACATGGTGAAATCCCGTCTCTACTAAAAATACAAAAATTAGTTGGGCCTGGTCACATGTGCCTGTAATCCCAGCTACTCAGGAGGCTGAGGCAGGGGAATTGCTTGAACCGGGGAGGTGGAGGTTGCAGTGAGCCAAGATTGCACCTTTGCACTCCAGCCTGGGCGACAGAGCGAGACTTGGTCTCAAAACAAACAAACAAACAAACAAAAACTATCCAAATCTATCCAAGTATCTATCCAAGTACTTCTTACTTCCAAATGCACTGAACTTCCTTAGCCCCACTCATCAAGGCTGGTGATTCTTTCATAGGCTTCCTGTAATTTAATATCCATTCCTAGTAGTACCCAGATTTTTGTAGAGATACCCACTTTTCCTCCCATACCACCCTAATACTCCTGGAAAAGCTGAATCTACTCTACTTCAGAATTGATCTAACTTGTCAAAAGGCAATTATTAGATTTCTTGTCAGAGATTGGTTAGGGAACATACATCTAAACCTATCAATGCATGTCATTTTTGTAGCCATAGAATATGGATTTGGAAAAGCCATGTAACCCAATGGAAGGCAAGTGTAAAAATTCTGGGAGGCTTCTGGAAAATAAATGTCCTAATATTTAAGATAGTCCCCTTTTTCTTTTAGATCTTGTGCAGAGTTGTGAGGCCTGGAATGAAGCTGACACCTGTGGGCACATACACAGGGGTAGGGGGTGTGTGGGGGACATAGGGGAGTGTGAGAGGTGCGGGATGGGGCTCATAGTTGAGCAGTTGAGAGAACTGCAGAGAACCAGATTTGGAGCTGTGAATGACTCACACTTAATCACCACTCTACCAATGGTCTTTTTCAATTATATTTGAATTGAGTTTCCTGTTACTAAGTACTGTTTGAAATGAGTTTTTGTTCCCTCAGTCTGAAAGCATTTTAACTGGTACATCCCTGATGGATCTCTCTGGGTAAATGTAGTTTCACTGGAAGAGATGGTGATTGGTGATTCCCATCAGATTCCCAAGAGAGTTTATTTTCTCTTGTATTAAGCCGGGCGGGGGTGGGGGGGCACTTAGGCTTACCGCCTGGTAGAAGCCAGCCATCAACTTAGCATCACCAGATTTCTGGCGTTAGCTGCCCACTGTCTGTGGCACTTTAGGCCCATGTAACTATTTCCAGAGTGACACAAGTTTCTTCCACGGTTGTTATCAAGTGGCCCTCACAGGTTCAGTGAGAAGAGGAAGAGGGAGAGAGATCATTAGGATTAATGGATTACTTGCATTTGTGAGACGGTTTGCCAAGTATTGCTACAAACAAGGCATGGGATTTTCTTTTCTTTTTTCTTTCTTTTTTTCCTTTTTTTTGAGATGGAGTCTTGCTCTGTTCTCCAGGCTGTAGAGCAGTGGAGCGATCTCGGCTCACTGCAACCTCTGCCTCCCAGGTTCAAACGATTCTCCTGCCTCAGCCCTCCCGAGTAGCTGGGATTACAGGCGTGCGTCACAACGCCCTGCTAATTTCTGTATTTTTAGTAGAGACGGGGTTTTGCCATGTTGCCTAGGCTGGTCTCGAACTCCTTGCCTCACGTGATCCTCACCCCTCGCCCTCCCAAAATGCTGGAATTACAGGCGTGAGCCACGGCGTCCGGCTAAGGCATGGGATTTTTCGAACTGCTGACATTAGAAATTCACAATCCACATCATTAACTGGATCCTCCACGCCCACTCCCTCTCTGTAGCAGCAATTTATCTTTACTCTCCGCAGTTCCACAGAACACAGGAAACAAACCAAAAAAAAAAAAAAAAAAAAAGGCAGGAGCCCAAGTAACCTCTATCAAAGCAAAGACCAGTGCTCACTCTAACCCTTTTAAGGGTTTTAAAAGAAGAGGTGAGGAGGTGTCCTGCTTATCCCCCAAGCTTGGGTGCTGGAGCGAGGGGCGGCTGAGATTTAAAGAAGGAGAGGGCAGAGAGCTAGAGAAAAGAAACAGGATAATTCTACCCAAGAGGACGAAATAGAGAAGCAGGAAACGAAGCCTGCGGCTAAATCCTGGTGATGACTATTAGGGAAACACCAGAGGATGCCCCGCCCGCCAGCCCACAATGAGCAGCCTGTCCAGTCACAAAGCGGGGCCTCGGGCCTTGATAGTTCGCGATCTGTAAGCAGAATGTTCCAGGGCCTCCCTGTCGCCTGTGTCCAGCCTGGGAGCCACGAAAATACAATCTTCAGCGGTGTGGGAGGCCGAAAGTGGACGGCGACTGAGGCCCCTCTTGCCGTGCCAACATAGTTTCTGCGCCCACTAGAAACTATGCATGAAATAAAAATTTCCGTAACTCGCCCTTTGCAGTGGAGAGACCAGAAACAGGCACACCAGGGAACTGGAGCGGAGGAGGGTAACTCAAACTCACAGTGAGAGGGTTTGCAGGGGGCCGATTTGGGGCCAACATGCTTCCCAGTACCCCGGGGCGGGGCAGCGGAAGGCGAAACGCTTTCAAGAGACCCCGCTGCCGACATCCCCACGCCCTTGCACCCTCCCGCTGCCCCAGAAGGCCAACTCCGCCTGCCTGAGTCACAGCTGGAGCTGGGGAGGAGCCAGGGAAAGGCAGCCCCAGACTGTAGTGCAGCCAGCGGTTTCAGGCAGACGGAGCTGAGCGGTCAGGGATCATGAGGGAGAGTGCGTTGGAGCCGGGGCCTGTGCCCGAGGCGCCGGCTGGGGGTCCCGTGCACGCCGTGACGGTGGTGACCCTGCTGGAGAAGCTGGCCTCCATGCTGGAGACGCTGCGGGAGCGGCAGGGAGGCCTGGCTCGAAGGCAGGGAGGCCTGGCAGGGTCCGTGCGCCGCATCCAGAGCGGCCTGGGCGCTTTGAGTCGCAGCCACGACACCACCAGCAACACCTTGGCGCAGCTGCTGGCCAAGGCGGAGCGCGTAAGCTCGCACGCCAACGCCGCCCAAGAGCGCGCGGTGCGCCGCGCAGCCCAGGTGCAGCGGCTGGAGGCCAACCATGGGCTGCTGGTGGCGCGCGGGAAGCTCCACGTTCTGCTCTTCAAGGTCAGTGACCTCAAATGGTCCCCAGTCCGGGGCCTTTGCCGGCCTTTGGGTCACCAGCTGGGGGCTCCCCGCTTCCATCCACCTACCACACCCACATTCCTGACCCCTCCCGCCGTCTGTTGCTGTGGAACAGACTCGCAGAGCCGCACCCATTTCCCAAGACCCAGCCCCATCCCTCCCTCTCACGCCTGAGCCCCGCCTGGCCAATCCAAGCCCGCCCAGCTCTAGCTCAGGCCACGTCCGCAGAATTTGGTCTAAGTCCCAGTCAATCCCTAAAATAACGGTGGTTGAAAGGGCATTCCGTGACTGTGGGCACCATCCTCCTCTCGCCCCTCACCAGGCCTCACCTACTTTACAAAGTTTTGCAGTTCGCACGCAACTTTCCCTCCCCTTACCTTCCCGCGCCTGCCTTTACCCCCAGACTTTGGCTGCAGAGTTAAAAGGTTTCCCTTGTGTAATTAAGGCGTGAGTTTCGGGTTGCTGGGGGTAAGGAGCTGCCAGGATCAGTGCTGTGTCCGTCATATGCAGGAGGAGGGTGAAGTCCCAGCCAGCGCTTTCCAGAAGGCACCAGAGCCCTTGGGCCCAGAGGACCAGTCCGAGCTGGGCCCAGAGCAGCTGGAGGCCGAAGTTGGAGAGAGCTCGGACGAGGAGCCGGTGGAGTCCAGGGCCCAGCGGCTGCGGCGCACCGGATTGCAGAAGGTACAGAGCCTCCGAAGGGCCCTTTCGGGCCGGAAAGGCCCTGCAGCGCCACCGCCCACCCCGGTCAAGCCGCCTCGCCTTGGGCCTGGCCGGAGCGCTGAAGCCCAGCTGGAAGCCCAGCTTGAGCTGGAGCCCATGCTGGTGCTGGAGCCAGAGCCTCCGCAGGACACCGAGGAAGATCCCAGGAGACCTGGGGCTGCCAAAGAAGTTCCGCTCCAAATAGAGAGTGCAGCCTGAGGGCTGGTGTTGCCTGTCTCCCCTGTGCTTGTGCCTTGTCCTAAAATAAATCCTTTCAGAATGTAGCACTCACGCCCTAATAAGGAGCGAATCCTGCATCCACCAAGGCGGGCGCTCTGGCCCTCCCTTCCTTAAGCCCAGTTCTGTGTCCTCTGAAAGAGGTGCAGCCACTCACACCTGCTTGCGCCCTCACCATCAATAAAAGTAATTTCACCCGAACCAGACTCCGTGAGAAGGGATGGGGAAGCAGTTGGATGTGGGAAGGCAGTTACAAGGAATAAGACAAATGTTGGAACCTGGAATCATTGTACGATTTCTCCAGTTTCCACGGAGTCCTGGGTTCTAGACTCCAGTGACATATAGAAGTATCCTTCTGACCACTTGCTCTTTAAACTTTCCTCATGGGAACACACAGTTGCAATTTTTTTTTTAAAGCATCGAGTACAGTCCTTTCTGTAGTTGCTTACTAAGTGTCAACTAATGGTTTTCCTCTTAGTCTTTTCTTCCTTTAGCACCTCCTAAAACTTGGGTTTTCCAGTATTCCTTTCTTGGCCCTTTTTTTACTCTGGGTACTTTTCGGCTGACATTCATGCCTAGGCCTCCCCTACCAGCTGCATACACCCCATACCCCTGTCTTGAGCTGCAGTTGAAAAGTACTTCAAAAGTAGCAAGTATCTTCTACCTTTTAAATTCCATTTCATTCAATAGCCATTTATTGAACACATACTATGTGGCAGGCCCTACTAGGTATGGTTCAGAATATTTCTCCCTCTTGTGTTTTCTTTACCAATGAATGGTACCGTCATCCACAGAGAAACTTGGGAGTCCTTGTTGGCTCAAGGACTTTCTCTCATCCCCCTCCCACATGGAAACAGCTATTCTATTGATTTTACCTCTGCAATCTGTCCACTTTTCTAATACAGCGGCTGCCTTATTTCAGGACTTTCACTGGACCAGTGTTTGAACTGCCAATCTCATCATATCATTGTCTTGATTCAAATATTTCAGTGCTTCCCCATTATCTTCAGAATAAAGACCCTTTGTGATCTGGTCCCTGCCTATTTTTGTAGCCTCATCTCTCACCACTTCCCCTCATGCTACCATTGAGTCACACTGAGCTCTGTGCTCTCACTCTCATCCCTGCTGTCCTGCCAAACTTAGAGAAGCACACCTGTTTCAGGGCCAGGTGTTTCTTTTCCTTCTCTCAAAGCACCACTTGCACACTTCTAGTGCTAACTGCACTGATTGTGAGGGTTTGTGGTTATGCCCCCACTCCACTCTACTAGATTGTGGCTCCCTTGCAGTAGGGACAGTTTTATTCATTTCTGTATTTCCCACACTAAGTACTGTGTCTGGCACAGGGTAGACCTTCTTGAGGGGCTGAGGAGAGTTCCCTGCAGCAGTAAAGCAAGAATATCACAGAAGGGGCTGGACGCGGTGGCTCATGCCTGTAATCTTAGCACTTTGGGAGGCCAAGGTGGGTGGAGGACTTGACTTCCGGAGCTCGAATCCACCGTTGGCAAGTTGATGAAACCCCATTTCTACATAAAATACAAAATTTAGCTGGATGTGGTGACTTGTGCTTGTAGTCCCAGCTACTTGGGGGGCTGAGGTGGGAGGATCACTCGAGCCCAGGAGGCAGAGGTTGCAGGTAAGCCATTGCACTCCAGCCTGGGCGACAAAGCAAGACCATGTTTCAAAAAAAAAAAAAAAGGAAGGAAAAAAATAAAAGCTAGAAGTGGGACTGGGGTGGTTAAGGATGAGGAGCACGGTCATATACTCCTTCATTCAGTCACTATCTTATAACAACATTTTTAATACCTACTTTGTTCGAGGCCCTATGCTAGGTCTCATGAACACCTCAGGGAGCCCAGGATTTAGAGGGAGATACCATTACCAATTGTAATGAATGATAGTTACATGTAAGCTATTTTGAGAGCAAATGGGGAAGGGGCATGACCCAACCTGAAGGAGGAAAAGTGGGAGATATATAAGGAATTGTTCTTGGAAATGGTAAATAGTGAGATGGAAATCAGGAATGGTGAGGGGCAGTAGAGCTCAGTGGTGGGTAGTTTGGGTTCTCTGTTCTATTATCTATCAAATGAGATAATTATAGCCCCCTACTTGGGCTGTTGCAAAGATTAAGTTACATAAATCAAGTGCATAGCAGTGCTGAGGTATCATTTTTGCTCCATAAGCTTCAGGTATATAATTCATTTGTCCACTCATTCAACAAGTACTTACTGAACTCTTAGGGTCTTCCAGGTACTATTTTGAATCTAAGGATACTACCAGGCGTGATGGTTCACATCTGTAATCCCAGCACTCTGGGAGGCTGAGACCGGCAGATTGCTTAAGTCCAGGAGTTTGAGACCAGCCTGGTCAACATGGCGAAACCCCGTCTGTACTGAAAATACACAAGTAGTTAGCCAGGTGTGGTGGTGCACACCTGTAGTCTCAGCTACTTGGTAGGCTGAGGCATGAGAATTGATTAAGTCTGGGGGGCAGAGTCTGCAGATTGCACCACTGCACTCCACCCTGGGCAAGAGGGTGACAGTCTGTCTCAAAAAATAAAATAAATAATAAACAAATAAAGTAAATAAAATAAAATCTGAGGATACAGTGACACATAAAAAAGACAAGATCCATACCTCTATAGAGTCAAATTCCAGTAGGAAGAGACAGGTAATAAATAAGTAAACATGTAAACCAGATAAAAACAAGTAAACACATGAACCACAAGGGCGTTCTGGTTTTGAGCTCTGAAGAAAAAGAAAACAGACTAAGGATACAGATAAGGGTTTGTGGGGGTGTTCTTTAGATAAGGACATTGGGGATTACTATTGGGACTAGAGTTACATGTTTGAGTTACTCCTTGACACTTGAGTTCAAGTGGTGTCACATTTTTATTTTCATGGATTCAATAAGAAGAGTTTAAGCCCCCACCTGCCTGCCATGCTGTTGGGAAGTTGATTATTAGTAATTTTAGTTGTCTTCCCATTTTCGAGATTGTGCAGTACTATGGGGCTCACACCATCTCTCAGCCTTTGCATATCTCTGCTGCCCTTGCTCCTTATGACCACACGATGTCAGTGTCGGGGAACCAGTGTCCTAGTTGGTGCCTCGTCTAATTACCCCAAGGTCAGCCTGTCCAGCAATATGTTGGGGACAGTTAGGGGTAGAGAAGGTGTGGGGGGCAGGGGTCCTTCCATGGAGGGTGGCTCTGCAGTAGCTCCCTTTGGTCTGGGGAAATTTAGCACTTCTCCTGCAGGCTCCCAAACCTGGTGCTCAAGACTGTGCCCCTTTCAAGGTGTGGCCGTCTCAATGGGACTGGTATGAGCAGGCTCAGTTCTCTGTCCCCAAGGAAAAATAAATCCTTTTTTTTTTCAAAATTCCTGGAAGTCTACTCGATTTTCCCTGTTCAACCCACAATCAGAATTAAGAACCTAAATGTGCATTTTCCATATAAAACATCTTGACCCCTAGAAACCCAAAGGCTTGACTAATTTCTCAAGGGAAGGGAATATTACTTTTTATTTCTTCCTGAGTTGTCTATAGCAGCAAATAATAAAATCAAGTTAAAACAAAATTAGTTAAATTTCTTAATAGCTCATTTTGTTATATTGTGTTCTCCATTATCACTGCTGGTTATTATTATTAATATTGTTAAAAATAAATGGCCAGGTGCAGTGACTTATGCCTGTAATCCTAGCCTTTTGGGAGGCTGAGGTAGGTGGATAGCTTTAGGCCAGGAGTTCAAGACCATCCTGGGTAACATGGTGAAACCCTGTCTCTACAGAAAACTTTAAAAAAAAAAAAACTAGCTGGGCTTGGGGGCACACCTGTAGTTCTAGCTACTTGGGAGGCTGAGGTGGGAAGATTGCTTGAGCCCAGGATTTTAAGGTTACAGTGAGTTATGATTGCGGCACTATACTCCAGCCTGGGTGACAGAATGAGACCTTGCCTTTAAAAAAGTAAAATAAAGGAAGTAGAGACAATGATACAGAATACCAACTTGTCATCCAGCATGTGTGGCATTTAGGCAGCTGTTTAAGCAGGCAGAAGGCACATTAGTGGATCATTAAAATTCACTTTGGCTCTCAACTCTTCAGGCCAGAAACACAAATTTATCATGCATTCCAGCAAGATTAGACTGATCTGCAATAACTGCACTCAGAAAACACTGATTAATTTGATTTCTGGATTCATTAATTTCCGTAAGAAATCTAATGGCCTAGTGACTGGAATAGTCTAGCTAGCTACTCAAAACATTTGTCATCCTTCAACAAAGTCTACATGGGAAGCCAAAGTAAGATCTTAAACTATGTATAATGCAATAGAATAGTAGAAACTGGATAAAAGTAATGGGCAGGATAATCTAATCTAATATGCCCACCTTTTGCTGTGACATGCCTCTTACATGGGCAAAAATATATACATTCCTGGTAGAAACTTCTTCCCTAGTTAAGGACTAGAGGTCCTTTTGATTTTCCTTTATTGTGAGCAGAGGACTCATACAACCTCAGCATTGAATAGAACTTGAATGCTGTCTATTCCACAAGCATTTCCAACACTAAAGTGTTCTGTACTGTCTTGACATCTATCCTTGTGGTTTCAGATGTATCTTAGTTTCATCAGAGACAGACAGAGTTTGCATTCATGATCCTCTTTTCTGTTTTAGAATTATTTTTAACATGATGGTGGAAAACTCAGTCTTTATTCAGTCATTTTGAAACAAGAGTCCAACAATCTTCCCCTACCCCCAGTCCTATGAGATTATTCTGATAGCTATTTTATTTAATCCATCACCTGTGTCTTAAGCATGGATATTTTGTTAGGAAGTCTGGTTTATTAGAGAAGATAGGTTTGAGATGATCCCATATTATGAGTCATATTGTTTCTAGACTTCTATAGATCTTCCTCTCTCCAACACAGAATGAAGACAGAGCAGTCCAACCCAATTTAAACAACTCCTTTTATTTCTCAGAGACTCAAGGACTAGACCATTCTAAAGTAATGTGGATTATTTTAAATATAGCATTAATTTTATGATATCATTATTACTTCTTGTATTATTTATGTATTTACATGCGTGTTTTATTCTTTATTTCTTTACCCACTTTACCCAACAGTCTACCTGTTTTGCCCTAATTTTTAGATATCTCTAAATCTGGCTAGTCAAAATGTGTTTTAATACTCTTGAACTGAAAAGATTATAAATGTACCCTTCTTATGTTTGCATACCATTTGAAATTGTTAACATCTGTGTTGACCAATGCTCTGAATGTTTGATTCAGGTAACTTGATCATTATTTCATAATTTTATAAAGCTAATTTGAAAGGTACATATCTTACTTTTTAGTATGTTTTCCCTTCTCCCACCTCTCATTTTTAGAATAGTTATGAATTTATGGCTCTTTTTAAAGACTCAATTGGTATCAATTGCTGGCTGGTAGGTTTTCTCCTTATGCTTACCTGTCACTTCTTGGTATATGGGAGCTCCTTTCAACGTGTTTTTTTTTTTTTGACAAATGGAAAGGAAGACTTTCTAGAAGAAAATGATGTTTATTTGGGAATAGGCATTACAATGGGAATATGTATGTTTGCCCCAGTAAATTATGTGTATATTCAGGGATATAAAGGAAGACAAAGGTTTTTTAAGGAAAAATGAGGAGGATTATATAATTGTTTTGAGATAATTATTCTTGACTACAAGGATTAATAACAAAGGTGGTGCCAGCCCAAGATTGGACAGAGAGTCGCTAGGCAGATGTCCTCCCAGAAGCATTATTATTATTATTATTATTATTATCATTATTTTGAGATGGAGTTTCGCCCTTTTGCCCAGACTGGAGTGCAATGGTGCGATCTTAGCTCATGCAACCTCCACCTCCCGGGTTCAAGCAATTCTTCTGCCTCAGCCTCCTGAGTAGCTGGGATTACAGGCATGCACCACCATGCCCAGTTAATTTTGTATTTTTAGTAGGGATGGGATTTCTCCATGTTGGTCAGGCTGGTCTCGAACTCCTGACCTCAGGTGATCCGCTCGCC